AAACACCACACACCTGTGGACAGCGCTGTGACGTGGCGAGTGTGGCCCGCCACTAAATATGGTCATTGCCCCTTGGCGAAATCTATCGTTCGACAAGGTTTTCCAGAAGAGGCGAATGAACCAAATACTGGCCACCGGCTCATTTGGAATATCGTTGCTGCCTTGCAGTCCGCGCTTGGTTGCGCAAAGGCTAGAGTGAACCTTCGAACGAGGCCTACAGACTCGCAATTAAGACTCAAGCTCTACTATCCGACTTACGTCCCCATCAAACCCATCAGTGAATTTTCACTTACACCTCTCTGGGGACAGTAAGGCTGCGGCTTCCGGGCGGTGGTGGTCAAGTGGTTAGGTCACCAACTAGTGATCCGGGTTCAGACCGCTCAACCGCCGCCCGTCTCCCTATAGATTTGTATTTTCCCCAGGCAGTCTGCGTATGGTGTGGCTGCAGCCCCCCTCCTGAAAGTTGACTGTACATTTGTACATTCAATAAATAGATAAAGGAAATAAAAAGACGTTTTTTTGCTGGCGTTGGTGTGGCTCTCAGTAAGAGAACTGAAGGCGCCCTCCTGGTCTGGTTCCCAGTCGACAGTAGGTTTTGCGTAGTGAGACTTAGAGGTTCGTGCAAAGTAAACAGTTGTCGCTCCGATAGATAAAACCTGTTTGTCCTGTCGGCGTATGCCTCGACGGACTGCAGCCCAGATGTAGTCAAAGATGGATTTTCTCATAATCTAAACGACCTCTTGCGTAAAACGAGTGAGGTTGATATCGTGATTTTAGCAAGAGACGTGAATGCTAGAGTATGTCGGCTGGTTCCGAGAGAGGCGCATTTGGATGGTACTTTCGGACGAGATTCCTGTCGCTCGGAAAACGGTGAACGACTGTTGGCATTTGTTCTGACCACCTCTTATTTCCCGCTAGTACGAATTTCAGACGATCCAACTGCCGTTCCGCCACTTGACGTTCGCCCTCCTCGAGTAAGAGACGGACGCAGATCGATTACATCGCTGTAAGCTACAAATGGCGGGGTTACGTACAAGACTGCACCCCTCTCAAATCAGACCACGCGATAGTTTGTGCCAAGCTGTTCATGTGTTTCGATGGGGGTTCCAAACGCATGACACATCGACCGTTAGACTGCGATAGATTGTCTCAACCAACACTCCTGTCTTTCAGAACATGCTAGCTGAAAAGCCAGAATCGACCCCACTCGATGACATTAACCAGCACTGGTCGCTTATCAAGAATGCTCTGCATTCTGCTGGCTCACTTAGTTGTGGTCTGACTGGTCGCGCCGTGACATCCTGGATCTCTGCGGAATCCTTACTACTTCTCGACGCACGCCCATCAATCCCGACCGGCAGCGAGCTTAATGAACTACGACGAGCAACGAGTCGTAACCTCAACGTAAGCCGACGCAGGGACCGCGAGATCCGGTAGACTCAACGCGCATTAGAGATGGAACATGCAGCCGCCATGGGAAATTCCTGCAAGCTGTTTCATCTCATCCGGGTCACCGGTAGGAAAGCCTTAGGTGTGAGCGAAACGACCTGCGAAGCTGACGGTCTGCCCATTCATAATCAACAGCAAGGCCTTGCACGCTGGGCGGAGCAATTCAAAGCACAGTTTAGCTGGCCACCAGCGTCANTAGCACACGTCCCATTGTCTGTTTCAACAGACTCACCTTCTGAAGCGGAAATCCGAAAAGAGATCCAAGCCTTGGGACGTCACAAAGCGCCGGGCTCAGATGGCCTTCCCCCTGCTCTATTTAAGGATCGTGGAATAAAGCTTATTAGAGAATTACAGGTTCTGTTCTCTAAAGAGTGGAACACTGAGCAAGTCCCCTCCTCGTGGGTTGAATCGATTGTTGTTCCCATCTTCAAAAATGACCTGCGCAATCACACGGGTATAAGCCTTATCCCAATAGCGTCAAAGCTGTTGGCGTCCGTCATTTTCTGCCGATCGCACACTACGAGTAAGGAGCAGACCCGCGTAGAGCAAGCTCGGTTTCGCGCCGGTCGTGGATGCATCCCTCAAATCTTTACCCACCGACAGTTGCTAGAGCACCGTCATGCCTACCAAGGACCAACGATCATTGTATTCTTAGACATTCACGCGTCCTTCAACTCTGTCGATAGGACCGCACTATGGAACTGTTTCTTGAGGAATGCAGTACCTGAGAAATATGTGTTGATCCTCAAAGAGTTGTATCGTCATACCTCAGGTCCGGTTAGGGCCTATGACCAGCTTTCGCCACCCTTCGCCGGTTCCAGTGGAGTCCGTCAAGGATGTCCTATATCCCCATTCCTTTTCAACTTTATCATAGAGGATTTTCTACAGAATGCTTTGCACGGTCTAGAAAACGGTGGAGTCGAACTCCTCCCAGGGAGCAGAGATCTTGACTTGGAATATGCCGACGACATCGACTTGCTGGGTGGCAACACATAGGCAGTCCAAAACTCTTTGAACCGCTTGACGATCGAGGTATCCAGGTATGGTATGTGCTTTGCTCCATCAAAGCGCAGTGCTTGTTCAAGACTGGCAGGAGCCTGTGCCTGCACTCACCCTCTGTGGTAATCAACTGGAAGTAGTTGTAAGTACCTCGGGAGTTTCATCGCAGATGGCGCTGGTGTTGGGGACGAAATCACCTCAGCGAAAGCCAGAGCAGCTTTCGCCAATCTATGGCACATGTGGCGCCGCCATGACAGCCGAGTGTTCCTTAAGGGAAGAGTGTATATCGTCGCAGTTTGTAGTGTTCTGCTTTACGGTTGCGAGCGGGCCTGATGGCTGATCCGAACACGAATGTGATGAGGAGTTAAGATGCATGGAACGCCAAACTGATCGCACTGGCTAACAAACACACACTACTCGAACACGGAGAAATATTCAACTTTTTTCAATGCACACCAGTTTATGATGAACAGCAGACGGAATAAACTTCAAAGTCATGAGTACCTGTTGTGTTTCATGTATGGCAAACGGCAACCTAAAACCAGTAACCCGGTCTGACGAACCAGAGGTAACCTTGCTTATTCATCGATCATTCCACACACCACTACTCACAAGTAACTGAGTCAAAGACGAAATATCAGTCCAACCTTGTAGATTCGTTAACGAATCAGTCCTTACCTGCATGGAATTCCTGACTTGGTGGGAGACGTTTGATTGGAGTTAACAGGTTGTCATCTGTCAC